TAAAGCTTTCTCACGTCACTTCTCCACCATGGCAGCCTGAGAGTCACCATTTATTCTGGGGGAGGGAGGGCTCCCCTCCTTCCTGAAAATCTGATGCTGAGCTCCCTGCAGCACTGCCAGTGAAGCTTTCACCTGGCCTGGACCTCCCTTCTGGCCTGCCGGGCCGCACCTTGACAGGCCTGTGTTTCAGCTGCAAGCCGTTAATACAGAAGCTTTGCCAAAGGACTGTGGTACTGTGGTGTCATCACAGGCTTTTGTAAGGCCCAAGTTTCCACTGCTGTCTGGTACCAGCATCCTCATTTTAAGAGAGCTACCTGAAACACCCAGGGGAAAACTCACTTCCACCTTCCCTGGTGGGCCTGGAGCCCCACCTAGCGTACTGGCCTCACCCTAAAGCACTCTAGCTGTTCCTGAGACAAATGGAACCTCTGATCTCGGGGTCCCCCTGTTCTTTGTCCAGAAGCTGACAGCTGCGTCCCGGACTACCACCAGGCAAAGAAAGATACCTTTTAATGTTTTTAATTAACATATATCAATCACACATAACAATGGGTTTCATTGCTATATTTCATACATAAATAATGTGGTTTGACATAATCATTTCCATTATCTGCTTTTGTCTTTCTCTCTCATTTATTCCCTTGCCTAGCTAGTCTTCTTTCTACTTTCATGCCTTTAAAGTTTGTTCATTTATTATCTGTGTGCATGCACACAGCATGACACCTGTGCAGAGGTCAGAAGACAACCCTGTGGGAGTCAGTTCTTTCCTTCCACCACGGAGGCCCCAGTCGGTAACAGCTTGTTAGGTTTGGCAGGAGACACTTTTACCTGTTGAGCTACCTTGGTAGCCTTTCATATCTCTTTGTGTGTGTTCCAATGAGTCCTGTTAGGGTTGATTGCAGAAACATGGGTGAGAGGCTATTTTAAAGAGTGTGTGCACACTGCCTATGGCTACATTACTGAAGAAAGTGTCTCCCCTCTCCCAGCAAGCATTTACTGCCTACAGATCATCAGAAAGGGGCGAAGCCTTGTGATTTTCACCCGATCCATGACAGGATATTGGCAGGTCTTAGGCCAGTGATCACAGCCGCTGTGAGTTCAAGAGCGCAATAGCCATGTCATGCCTGGAGGACAGCATTCCACAAAACTCCACTCATGTATCTGCATCTTATAGCCTTTCTGGCCTTTCTTCCATACTGTTCCCTGAGCCTGGCAGGAGGCGGTATAAAGGCACTGTTTATGACTGAGCATTCAACAGTTACCTGTTGTAATCACTCTGACCATTTCTGAACACCTGAAACTACCATTGCCCACTTCGAAAAGAAGCTTCTCCACACGAGGTTGAGAATATCACTGATCCGTAGGCATAAAAATAAACATTTGAAGAGCAAGTTGTTGGGCCCAGTAGCTTATTCTCTGTCTTGGTTAGTTTTATGTCAACTTGATATAAGCTAGAGTCATTTGGGAAGAGAGACTCTCCCTTGAGAAAGTGCTGTCGTCCAGATTGCTGGTAGGGAAGTCTGGGCATTACAAAGAAAATTAATAGTTGATGTGGGAGGGTGACTCCCCTGGGTGCGTGGCCCTGGTGGTCCTGGATTGTGTAAGAAAACAGGCTGAGCAAGCCATGACAAGCAAGCCTGTAAATAGTGTCCTTCCATGCCTTCTGCTTCAGTTCTTGCCTCTAGGTTCCCACTGTTACTTAATTCAGTGATGGGCTGTTCCCTGGAGGTGTAAGGTGACATAAACCCTTTCTTCCTCAAGTTGCCTTTGGTCACAGTGTTTTAACACAACAATAGAAATTCCAACTAACACATCCCCAAAGAATCAATGGCCTCCATAGTCACAGGGTTTTGATGGGTTCACTGCATCAGACAGCAATTTCTTCCTGTGGAGTGGATCTCAAAACCAATCAGAAAGGAGTTGGTTACCCTCATAAAAGCTTGCCATTATTGTTCCAATGTACATATCTTGGCTGCTCAGTCACTAATCTAGCATACTCTTAGTTGCTTTTCTATTGCTTTGATAAAACACATGACCAAGGCAACTTACAGGGAAACAAAGTTTATTTTAGGTGATAGCTTCAGAGGGCTGGAGTCCACAATGGCAAGAGAAGCATTGCAGAATGTGGCAGGTACGGTGGCTGCACCAGGAAGCTGAGAGCTCACAGTTGAACTGCAAGCACAAGGCAGAGAGAAGAAGCTGGGAGTAGGCAAGGCCTTTAAAATCCCAAAGCCTGCTCCTAGTAACACACTTCCTCCAGCCTGCCCAGACAGCCTACCAGCTGAATCAAGTGTTCAAATGCTAATACTATGAGAGACATTTCTCATTCAAAGTACTACGAACATTGAGTCCACAGGCAAGTAAGACTGTTGGTAATTTTCCATCACACTGCAGAGCACCTTCAACCCTGTGAAGGCTACCCAGGGAAGAAGCTTCTGGCTCAGCTCTAGCCTCAACTTCCTCTTTTTTTCTAAGTTGAATGACTTAGAACTCCAAGACAGAGAATGGTCTACCTACATTCTATCCTCAGCTAAACCTTTCTGGAAACCTTACAGACACACTCAGATGTGTGTTTCCATGGTAACTCCAAATCAAGGAGATGACTGAGGTTAACCACCACCCCAACTAAGAGACTCTTTGTGATGGTTAGTGTTAATTGTCAACTTGACAAAATCTAGACTCACCTAGGAGATGGGCCTTAAGCATGTCTGTGGTTTGTTTTAGAGAAAGTCCCATAAGCTACTAAAAAGAATGTGTCTTCTGCTGTGTCTAGATGGAATATTTTGTAAATGTCTGTTGAATCCATTTGATCAATGATACCTAATTTGATTCAGCTATTCTAGGGCTGTAATGTTAGGCTGAGTGGTGGTGGCACCCACCTTAAATCCTAGCACTCAAGTAATTTGAGGTTAGGCTGGTCTATAAAGTTAGTTCTAGGACAGCAAGGGCTACACAAAGAAACCCTGTCGCAAAACACACACACACACACACACACACACACACACACACACACACACAGAATGTAGTGTTAGAATCCAGCTGTGGTTCAGACCATAATACCTTACAGCCGCCCCTCCCTTTCACAGCTATCAACAGGCACCCCACTGAAGACATTGCCTCTTAGTCTAGATTGCAGTGAGGTTGTCAGGTTCGCGTCTAGTATGGCGGCAGGAGTCTTTTACCCACTGAAGCATCCCATTGGTCTATGAGTGACTTCTCTCTCTTTTCTCACTAGTTTTGTCAGATGATAGAACAGCAACGCCTGCTTGCTTGTGTCCTCAGTCCACTTACTTGGGATACTCTTAAAAGTCTCTAACCTAACACTTTATTTTTGTGTGTGTATGTGTGCTTGTCACAACGGGAACGCGGAGGTCAGAGGACAACCTGCAGGAGTCAGTTCTTTCCTTGCATCATGTCGGTCCTGGGAATCAAACAGGCTGCTAGGCTGGCAGCAGGTGCCTCAACCCGATGGGCCTCCTCACTATTCCCTGGCATACTTTTATTTATTGCTTCACCCTCAGGTAGTGCCTGTCTTTTGTGGTGAGGTGTTTCTTGGAGGCAACACACAGACAGCTCCAGATTTTTGATCTAATCTACTAGCCTATGCCTTTGTCTGGGGCAGAATTGAGAGTGATAACATTCAGAGTTATTATCATCATTTTGTTGATTTTGTGTGTTCTCCCCCCCCCCCCCGCTTAAATATTATTCTAGTGTGTTTTATTTTTTTTTCCTGGACATTGTGGACTGATATTTTTTTCCCCTCTTCAGCCTGAAGGATTCTGTCACACATCTTCTGTAGACCTGGCTCAGGGCTCATAAATTCTGTTTTTTACCATGGCAGGTTTTACATTTTGTTCTTCCACTATGACAGATAGTTTTGCTGAGTGCGGTAGTCTGGGCTGGCAGCTGTTATCTCTCACATCCTGAACTCTGTCACTGCACATCCTCGGGCTTTCACCCTTTCGGTCGCATGAATGATGGTGTTACCCTGACGGGCCTGCCTTTCTCTGTGAATAGTGGTTTTCTGTTGCAGCTCTCAACACGAGGTAGGGGACTCAGAGCCAGTGTCCAGCTCTCTCCCCTCCTGCTTGCATTTCCGCACAGCTCAAGGCACCTCTCAGCCTGACCTCTCCCACCTTTCTGTCTGAACTCCAGCCTCTCAGCTGGGAGTTTTATCTTCAGAATTTAAATAGTCTGTTCAAGCGCGGCTGGATTCTTTGTTTCTGGAAGTCTTTCTCCACCCAGAACTTGTAGGACTTGGAGGGAGAACTTGAAATCTATTAGTCTGTGCAGTTGGTGGTCCGAGGCTCAAGGCTTCTCTGCTCTACACTGGAAAATACTGCCTGCTGTCCCCCAGCCTGCAGTGCAGAGGACCTGGGGAGAGTGGGAGAGGTGGTAAAGTTTGGATCTCAAGACACGTTTGTTCCAGTTCAGGTATGTGTTGAATCCTGAGGATCCCCTGCCTGGTAGGGCCTGTGACTGTGTTGCCTCCTTCTGCTTCGGGTTGGCCCCGCCTCTTCAGTTTGGTTCCTTCGGCCTGCTAGGAGGAGGCAGCCCTCTGCAACGCCTGATTGGCTCAGCCCAGCTCACATCCTGCACAGTCAGTAAGCAGGAAACTTCTTCAGAGAAGAGCGGAGGTATCCTGGGACTCACTGCCCCTGAGAGAGGTGCCAGGCTTGGGGACACAGGAGAGGCCCAGAACACGGTGGAACTGCCTACAGCTTGGCTCCAGGGAGCCAACTGGTTCTGGAGGCGGCTGTTTTCCAGTCACCACACCAATTCTCTCAGCCCCCACCCCCACCCCATCTGGGCTGGTCTAGACTAAACAGGTCCCATCTGTCTGTCTCTTTCCTTTCTGTGGTCTCCGTCTCTCCCCTGCATGGCCCTGGGTGCTCCTTTTCCTTGACATATTGTAGCCATCTAAGTCCCTGTCCCTGTCCAGTGACTCCAGTGGTCCACATTTCTCCTGGGCCTCAGAATCTCCACCTCTCCCCTCCAGGATGCTACAGCTGAGCCTGTCCTGGCTGAGACTGGAGGCCCTTCTTGCTTCCCCATGGCAGCTTCTGGGGCTGGTTGGGGCCTCCTTGTTCCTGGCTCGAACCCTGACCTGGATCAATGCCTGGCATGACAACCGCCGCCCCCGCTGCTTTCCTCGGCTCACTTCCCTGCACTGGTTTTGGGGTCACACTGGCTTGGGGAGTACGGAGCAGGTAGGTCTGGTGTGTCAGGATGAGCGCGTTCTCAAAGGCAGGAGAGGTTCTTAGGAATCCAGGAGTCACGAGAGGGCTGGGGCCTACACCAGTACAGAAGTGAGGGGGGCCGTGGGGGTCCCTCTCTGCTCACATACCCAGCTTTGCCTCTGTCCACACCATGCTCTGAAGCTTTCCTTCCTCCTCTCTCTCTCTCTCTCTCTCTCTCTCTCTCTCTCTCTCTCTCTCTCTCCCCTTTCTCACCCCCAGCTAACTTTGGATCACATTCTCACCAGAACTCAGGGTCTGAAGCCTCTTCCTGTGGTCTGTTCTGTGTTGTAGTTAGAGGCCCCCAGGACAGGCTGCACAGGGTCCCTTTCACCATGTGCTGCCTTCACTTTCCACTGTTGGATTTGAGGCTTTCTAATGGAACATATGGGGCATGCCGCTTTCCTGGCCCATCTCTGTTGGCCTCAGGCCAGTGTCCGTACCTCTGTGCGGAGCCTCTTCTTCTGTGGGAATGAGCTATGATCCCTGTCTCTCTGCCCACAAGGACACCGAATGGCAGAAGACGTGATCTCTCCTCTCCAACGCTTTAGGCCGTGTCCTTCCTTACCCAGCCTCACACTACGTCGAAGGATTCCATTGTCCGAGTTAGGTCAAAGTGAGCAATCTGCTTTTCTCTGTGACAAACGCTGAATGTTCTGTGCCCCCTACTGAAAGGGTTCTATTACTAGCCCAGCCACTGTTTCTGTTTTTCTGGAGGGCACCACTGTGGCCTCTTCGATAATGGCTACCCTTCCTGTGAAAGGTTTCTTACTCTCACATCCAGTGCCCCTTGCTCCATGACTTCCTGTTGCCAGAGCCACTGTTGGCATTTTAGTGTCACCTGTAAGGTGATTGAAGGGCTGCTTTCTCTCACCACAGTCCTTTTTTCTTCCAGCTTCCCTGTTTGGCCTTCTCTCCTCCCGTATCTCCTCAGGCCTTCTTCTTTTATGTTATGTTACATGGTAAAGGAATAGGAAGAAAAAAACCCCAAATATGTGTGTATTTGTGCACAAACATATCCTTAACAAAACAGAACAGAAACACTCATGATAAATACGATAATTGTTTCTGTAACTGATCATATGGTCTTAGCTGGTTTTCAGAACCGCTTTCCTCTACTGCCCATTCTGTATATTTCTTCTATCCTCGGAAAACATTTCATAAGGTCTTGTCTCTTTATCTGGAGGGGTGACCCATACCGTCATTCCTGAAGAACTATTGTCATCCTGCCTGGATTGCATTGTTGGAGTTTCCCATGATCCAACCGCAGAACATGCTAACGAGACATGCCCCGAAAGAGCTCGTCCACTCTATGGAGCTGCAGCATTGCACCAAGGAGGAACAGAGTGCTCACCTTAGCCCTGACTTGGACAATAGAGTCCTCTGACACATACGCTTCCTTCTGCTGTGGAAAAGCAGCCAGATTTTCCTCTAGCAGTCTGAATCAGTTATCCCTGATAACACAATAACACATCTTTTAGCCTATTGATTCAAGGGAATAAGGAACCCAAATTGGCCAAAGGGAAGGCTTAGCTTCCAAGTCAATGGAATATTTATCCTAGCTCTTGGTGAAAGCAGCCTCCCATCTGGAACCAAGTCTAGTAAGTCAGCAGAACATAAGATTGTGTGAATAAAGGGAGAAAAAGATTGCTAGTGGGCCCCTAGATGTGATCAGGCATGGCACCATCCTCATTTCCACCTCCTTCTTGATTCCTGAGCTACAAATTCCAGTTCCAGGGGAAACAGCCACCATGTATTGTACACGGATTCAGAGCGTTTATAGCCTTCTGGGAACTTGTCCCGCTTCCTGAGTTCTTCCACCTGTTGGCACTGTCCCCTTAAAAGAGCAGTCCACTCTTCTTTCAAGCCATCTGCTTCAAGATGATGGAGGGTGGTAAGACCACTGAATTCCACAGACATGAGCCCACTGCCTCCCTTCTGCCACTGTGAAATGAGTTCTTTTTCAGCAGCAAAATTATGTGGGCTACTACGATGGTGGACAAAGAATTCTGTGAATGAATAGATGGTAGTTTTGGCAAAAGAATTACAATGGCAAATTCATAATATAGAATAAGTATCTATTTTAGTAAGGACAAAGCCATGTTCATTCCATGGTGGAAGTGGTATAAGGTAGTCAGCCTGCCTCAGGTCACTGGCTGGTCTCCCCAGGGAATGGTGTCATACTGGAGGCTCAGTGTTGGTCTCTGCTGCTGGCAGGTCTGGCACTCAATGGCAGCCATAAGCAGATCAGCCTTGGTGAGTGGAAGGCTGTGTTGTTGAGCCCATGCATAGCTTCCATTCCTGTCACCTTGGTCACCTTGGTCAATGGCAGGGATAGCTGGGGGAAGATGTTAATTACTAGCCATAGTTCAAGCCCCCATCTGCTGATGACTAAAGTCCATCTCTGCTGAGATTGCCTTTTGCTGAGTAGCTACACGGGACATAAGTAGCTTCACATCCTTTGCCTGTTTGGAGAGCTCTACCACATGCCTTTCTGAAAATGTCATCTCGGTTTTTAATCACACGCCTTTTTAGAACCCCACCATGTCGCCAGATCATTGGCCGAAGCGGCAGTATATAACCACACATTTTCCAAGCAAAAACTTGACTGTACACACGTGTGAAGATTTTCCTTCACTAATGTCCTTCAGAGTCATCACAAAAAGGCTGTAATACTGCAGCTGTTCCCTTTGGGTGGTACCTGTTTAGCATGTGGAAGCATTCACAAATGCCTAATATTCTGTTCAGCAGCTCATAGGGCACACTTCACGAGGCTGTGTGCACACTTAAGAACAAAGATATTGGAACAGGAGTAGGAACAAGACAGATTTTGCAGATTTTGGTATCTTCAGTAATTTGCTGTGCTTTCTTTACCGGTATAGGCTTGGTTATACACGCACACACACACACACGCACACACACGCACACACACGCACACACACATATACACATATGTACATATATAGATGCACACATGTACACACATACACACATATACATATGTACACATGTACATATATACATGTACACACACATACATGTACACATATACACATGTACACATATGTCCCAGACCTCTTCTTATGTGAACCAGAAGCTGTAAGTTCTTTAGGAGTGTAGTGGTCCTTCTCACTGTGTACTCCATTTCTGGGGCCTGCTGAAACTTGAGTCTAGTAGGGAGGGTGGACCCCAATTGGCAAGAGCTGACTTGCTTGGCATCTCCTTCAGGGAGGGTCATTCTTGGGTTTCATAGACATCACAGGATTTTTTTCAGACAAGGGTAGAGAGGGAAATAGTTCAGGGAGTGGGGTTGAGAATATATTTGCTACTAAATGTAGGAAGACATCTTCCCCAGGTGGACCAAACCCACCAGATTCTGAGAGTTCCATGCTCTCAGGTCCTCTGTGCATCTTTATCTCAAGTTGCGGATCCCACTCTTTACCAAACAGTGCCCTCACTTTAATTATTAACATACTTTGAGGCTGGGACCTGAATTTGCATTGTAAGTCATTCAGTTTTATGACAAGGGCTTGTATTTGGCTGTCAGCATCTTCAGGCCTATGGCTGCTCAAGATAAGATTCTCTCTTCGGACCAGGTGGTGGTGGTGGATCATGTCTTTAATTTTAGCAGTCAGGAGGTAGAGGCAGGTGGATCTCTATGAGTTAGAGGCCAAAATGCTCTACAGAGTGAGTTTCAGGCCAGCCAAGGTGACACAGAGAAACCTTGTCTTATAAAACTAACCAACAAACAAATAAAACAAAAACAACAACAAAACCAGATTCTCTCTTAGGACACACTTACAAGGTTTTAGATGGTTTGTACACAACTGGAACTGGGAAGTTAAGCTCATTTTATTTTCATTTTCTGTTTTATCCAGAAACATTGGCTGCAACTAACCAGCATCATTATATTACTTAATTTTCTAGAATTAAAAGAAAATATAGAAAGAGTCATTACCTCTCTTGCTCCTCACAGTGGATGAATCAGGAACACCAAGCACACTTATCTTGTATAGTTCTTTAAGCAATTCACACCATTGGTTATCAGTGGTTTTTAGACTACCAAGCTTTTAGCAATGGCATTTGGAAAACCTTGGGCTTGGGTGAACTCAATCAGCCATGTATTCCATTGTCTTGGTCACAGTGATGACGGGGTGTTAGGTGTCATGTCAGCTCTTGTCCATCCATTCCCCAAATCCTACTTCTACTAAACCTCTAGCCTGCACATTCTGCCATAGACATATGTGCCATGGACTGACCCAGCCGGGTTCCACAACTGTGGGAGAATCAGGGTTTTTGGATACTCAGGAAGACACAGGTTAGGCGGATTGACAGACAGAGGCCACACCGAGGAGTGCTTTGAATCTGCTGTAATATTTCTGAAGTCAAACTAATAATTTTATAATGATTACATGAGGAAATACCTTAAAGTTGGCATACTTCCCAGAACATTCAGACTTTTACCAAGAATACAAAGTTTACATTTTAACAGAGGGCAGTGCCCACAAGAAATCTTGGCCTGAGAACTTTTGATCAAAGCAGACAAAGGAAAAGAAACCTCAAACTGCAGTTTCATTATTGCTAACCAATGAAGAGGAAAGTCAGGAGCTAAGTCAGATACCTGCCAAAATCTTTTTCTGCGTCAAAATCTAAATACACCTTTGTTAACCATCCTCCCATATGTCTTGCTAAAGATTTATAATCTTCCTTAGAAACAAGACGCCAAAGGGAGGCATGCTCGAGCCAGCTGTACTTTCCCATGCTCTCTTTCCCTAAGGAGGAGTCCACTATTTCTTTTTTATTCTTGTAATGCTACCTGATACTGAATCTGATTCATTACTTCTCTTAAGATTATTTTTCTTCCATTCTATTCTTATTAAAGCTTTTAATAATCTACCAAAGATATATTTCTTTAAATAGTTAATTGTGCTATTCCAGGAATCATAGAAAAAAATCAAAAGGCTCATAAATCCAACCCCACAACCACAACCAAGAAAGCGTAGAAATCTCAGAATACATCTTTTTGGTAAGGAGAACATATTGCCAGTGACCTCCAGGGAGCGTATTCCCAAAGAAAACGTATCTCCCGTCTAGTAACACAATCTATTGATATGCTACACTAACGACGCTGGAGTGGGTGTAGCACTCATGGACAAAGAGTCACTCTCATCTCTTGCCGCTCTCTTGCCCCTCTTGCTCATCTGCCTGCTTCTCATTCCTGTCACCTTGGTGATTTCCAGGTGCTTGAGTCCCGGCACTGTTGGATTTTTTTCTCCACAGCTCTCTGCTGTTCTGTCTCTATCATCCTCCTAAGAGTCTCTTTTTAGTGTTTTAGGATTCTTGTTGTTCACTGGTCTCCCCAGATTTCCCTGAGCCCGTCTGTGTTCACTTCTGGTTCTCCCTCCCCCGAACTTTCCATACTGGATCACCTGCTGTCTTTTCTCCTCCTCTGCTCCTTTCTCAAGGCTTCTTCCTTACATGGGATCTAAATTGGCCATCAGTTCTCTCCTGAGGGAAATTCTAATCTCACTTCTTTCCTAAGCTGGGTACGAAGTCTGTGGGTGTCCTCACACGTCCTTTGCTTCAAAGCTGCAGAGGAACTTGGCCATCGCTGAGGCTAAATTAGCTGAGTCCACTCTGATATTAGATAAGTGGTAAGAAAAGGGGGGGGGGCAGGTATCAGAAAAATCAGAGGCAGAGAATTTGATAAAGACACAGAGAGGCATGTAGAGGGAGATGACAGAGTTGAGAGGGAGATCAAGAAAAATGAGCGAGAATGATAGACACACACACACAGAAACAAAATGGGGTAGATAATTGGTGGTGAAATATATACACTCATACATTCATATTTAATATATTTTACCTGTATCATTTATCTGTTACATATCCCTATGCCATTTATTTATCTATTAGCATCACACCTATAAATCATTTGTGTATCCACATTTATCTACTAATCATCTATCTATCTATCTATCTATCTATCTGTCTGTCTATCTATCTATCTATCTATCTATCTATCTATCTATCTATCTACAATCTATTCATCCATCCAGGAAATATAAAGAGAGGTTGGAAAAATGGCTCAGTGTGTGAGAACACTTGCTGCTCTTGCAAAGAACCTGGCTTCAGGAACTAGGACCCACATCAGGCAACTGACAACTAACCTGAAACAGCATTTCCAATGGATCCAACACCTTCTTTTGGCCTCCATGGACCTTTATATAAAATATGTAGGCACACACGTATACAAAAAATAAATCAATAAATCTTAAAAAACAAAACAGAGATAGGGGAATAGGGTTCAGAGAGAGAAACAGAGAGAGACATGTAAATAAACACATGAACATAAAAAATGATGTGCAGTTTAATTCAGGTTGATTCAGCAAGAGCCATTTATGAATGAGTCAATGGAAAGAGTAAGAGTGGTGCGGAATTTGATTGGCAAGAAAAGGCTAGCCTCAGTCTTTTCCATCTCCAGATCAAGAACAATGAGGAAGGCCTGCTGTTGTGGACTGAAATGGGCCACCACTTCCATGATGTCCATGTCGGTTGGATTGGGGCTGTCTATCCCTTCCTGAGGCTCATCCACCCCAAGACCATTGGCCCTGTTCTCCAGGCACCAGGTATTTCTCCAAGAACCCCAATTACCGGTCTATTCTCCCTTTTCTCCAAGCCCTTCCTACCCCTGCACAAGTCAGGTTGGTCAGGAGAGGATGGAGCCTTGTTTAGGAGAAACCACAGCCCTACCACTAACTTGGATGACCCTGGGCAATGTTTTGGGTCTCTCTAGATACTATGGTCCGTTAAATTGTGTGTGATGGAAATTCAACCCAGTGTGGTCTTAGCAAAGAAAAAAAAATCTACTAGCTGGGGGTATAGCTTTGTGGTGGGCACTTGTCTGCCACTTACAGTACCTTAGACTGCATGCCTAGGCACTGAAAAAAAATTAAAGAAATCTGCTAGCAGAAAAATCCAGGGAGAGTGTTCTTTAAGGACAGCTGGATACAGGTCTCAAAAATGCTGCAGGATTCATTGTCTGTTAGTCCCACCTTCTTCCGGATGGCTTCACTCTCCTGTGCAGAAAGATAACCCCTAATAACTCAACCCCTTAACAAATCCCTGTGTTTCCAGGAAGAGTTCACTTTGCCTCACTGGGCGATAAGACAGATTCTTCATCCACCACTGTGACTTGATTGTCTTATATTATTTTAGACATAAAATAACAAATAACCAGTATGCCAGTTCAGAGTGCGGTCTTAAACAGAGGCAAAGTAAAAACGGACATGCGTGTTTTCATAGCCTTTTCTTAAATGAATGCAAAAGGCTAGAAGATGAAGGTCATTTACACCCTTAAGCTGTGCTCTTTCCTGATTCTTTGGTCCTTGACAAACATCTCTAATAATGAAATAGAATAAAAATGTGGAGATCTTCTGGGTGTGGTATGCATTCCTTTAAGGCCAGAAGTAGGTAGGCAGAGGCAGGCAGATCTCTGTTTGTTCCAGGCTAGCTGATCCACAAAGTTACAGAGGAACAGGAACAGACATCCCTTCAACACGTTTCTGATGTAGACCAGATAGGCCAGACCTGAACAGAGCAGAAAGGCTGAGTTCCGGAAACTGATGCTCAGCGAAACACACAGCACACAAAGGACTCCACCCACCTTACAGCTTCAGCTCCTTTTTGGGACCTTAAGCTGAAAACTGACTTGGGAGGTAGAGGGGGTACAGAATCCCTCAGAAGACCCAGCAGGTCAGCTGTGTCTGGTTGGCTGTGAGCTGCTCGCCGGCTGGCTGGGGCAGTGGCAGCCCTTCAAGGGAGCACATGGGGGCTGAACCCTGAGCGCCGTGATATAAATTACACACCGCACAACAGCTTGTGGTTATAGGCTTATTGTGGGAAAGGCAAAACTGAGGCAGTGGGAGAGCTTAGAAGGGTGAGAATACAGAATGGGAAGGGAGACAGACAGGCAGAGAGCAGAGGCAGAGAGAGGGAGAGAGAGAAGCTCGGGGTCCTTTTATCCCGGTCCATGGTAACGGTGACCAATCATGATATCATAGGTTGCTAAGCAACCTAGGTGTGGGCTAGTGCGTTGACGGGTGAACCGACACTGGTCTTTGAGGACAGGGGTACCGTTAACCTTAAATACTTAATGCTTAGCATGGAGGATACATCATTTGGGGCATGAATGAAACATATTAAAATCCTATCTGGGGTTCAGTTAAATCCTATCTGAAGGGTACAATTAAATCATGTAAGACTGTTGTATGTCCGTGTTAGACCATACTGTATCATCTCAGGGATGATATGTTGTGTGCATAACTGTGTCCCTGTTCCATGTGCAGGATGTGTCCCAGGTCTCTGTTAAAGGCATTTATTAGAGGTGTTGTACCGGTTAGATGTGGAAAACACGGTGGACCATGTAGCAGCCACGTGAAGGCGTGCTGAGGCATGTTGTGCCCTGTGAGGCTGACCTTTGCTCTCCTCGCTGCTGCAGCGTGGTCTGGTCTGCCTCACCTCTTCTCTTCCCTCCTTCCCTTGTTCCTGTCCCCTTCCTGCCTGGCTATGTTTGGAGGGGAAGTGGACAGCCATGGGGCTGGGAGTCCCCATCCTTCCCAGAGACCACCATTCACTTTTTCCCTACCCCTGATTGATCTCCTCCCTTCTTAATGGCAGCTTCAGTGGCCCTCAAGGAAATGAATTTTTACGGCTTCCTGAAGCCCTGGCTGGGTGAGTACCTCAAGATCAGGGTCAGGAGATACCATATTGGGCCAGGTGAAGGTGCCAGCCTTGCCCACTGCCATCCTGCCCTCCCAGGAGATGGGCTCTTCCTGAGTGCTGGTGGCAAGTGGAGCCGCCATCGCCGCCTGCTGACACCTGCTTTCCACTTCGACATCCTGAAGCCCTACGTGAAGATTTTTAACAAGTGTGTGAACACCATGCACGTGAGTCTGTGTTTATATGTGCTTGTATGGGATGGTTTCTTTTATAACATTAAAATTATGTTATAGGAATCAAACCTGGGTCCTCTGTAAGGGCAACAAGTGCTCTTAACCTTTTAACCTCTCCAGCTCCATATGGAGTAATTTCTGTAGCCACACACCAATTAGCGTTTATTGAATACCTTCTATACAACAGAAGGACTATGCCAGTCCCATGATCTATGTTTTCACACTGCCTCGAGGTAGAAATTACTATGACAGTCACATTATGGATGATGAAACTGGTGCCGTAGAGATCAGGATGCTTCTTCAAGTTCCCCAGTCATAAGAGTGTGAGAGGTGGAGCAGCCGTTCAGCAGATGAGGTTAAATGAATTGTTGCTGAAGATTTACCAAATGGGAACTAGGAGAGGGAAATGCATTGATCAAAGGCCATACAGACATTAGACTTGAACTCAGTTTCTGACTACCAGCCTTGTGTCTTCTCCCACCCATGTCTGGCCTATTCTGGGGTAAAGGCCTAAATGTAGTGTGTGTGTGTGTGTGTATGTGTGTATTGTCTACTTTGGTGTTTGGAGTTGGCCAGGGCTCAGGAGCCAAGGCCTAATGGTATTCCCTTCTCTGGCCAGGCCAAATGGCAGCGCCTAAACACCCAGGGCACCACCTGCCTGAACATGTTTGAACACATCAGCCTCATGACCTTGGACAATCTTCAGAAATGTGTCTTCAGCTTTGACAGCAACTGTCAGGAGTGAGTCACTGTCTTTGCCTGGGAACCTAAGCATGGACTAAGGGAAGAGGCTGTGGAGGTCCCAACCCCTAGTGGTAGTCTCAGGGTGCAGATGCAGAGGAGCTGGGGAGCAGGGTCTCATGCAGTGGTGAGTAGGACAGGTATAAACAACCTAGAAGACTGGGAGAACAGGTCACTTACTGACATAGTGGAGCTAGCTTATATAGCTCGTCAGTGGGGAGGGGAGGAAAAAGGACACGGAAGTGCTGAGTGGGGTCAGGGACCTTCAAAGCCTATCAGCTAGATTAGCAGACTGCTGGTCACATGATTTCTGAGAAGCCAGTTCTCTGGTGGGGAAACAGAAGTTTAACTGGCTTTCCCATGATGTGGCCTTTGTTTCTGTGGAGTTTGAGTAGGCCCAAGCCTGATTTGGGTAGGGAGCAGTTCCACTCCTACTGTGCAGAGAGATTTCTGGGGTACGGACACTACTCTACCATCCCCCTTGTGTCCTGGGAATCCACAGGGAGAAAGGAATGGTCAGAGGGAACAGAGGGGACCCCCTGGAGGACAAGGAAGAGAGAGAGAGAGAGAGAGAGAGAGAGAGAGAGAGAGAGAGAGAGACAGAGAGACAGAGAGAGAGAGAGAGTTGGCCTTTCAGGGAGGTAGGATTGTTTGGATAAAGGCAAGGAGGTGTGGGTAAGCAGACAAGGAGAGTATTCCTGTCAATATCTGAGTGAAAGGACTGAAGAAGGCAGGCTGTCATTGGCTCCATATTTCAGAGGTTTCACCCATCATGGTGGGTGAGGAACGGCATCACGGAACCCCTTCCGTTAAGAAGGGCCAAGAGGCAAGCTTCCTCCTCCATCTCCTGTTCTTCTTTCTAAGCCCCTCCCTGTGGGATGAGATTGTCCACACCAGGGTGGGTGTTTACCCCTCAGCTAATCCTCTGGGGAACATCCTCACAGAGGAACATGGAAATGTGCTTTATGAGGACTGGGGATGTGACTCGGTAAGTAAAGTGCTTGCCACACAAGACCAAAGGCCCCAGCACCCATCAAAGCAAAGCCAGGGTGACTATATCTACAGTTCAGTGCTGGAGCGAGATTTAGATGGGGGGAATCCCTGGAGGCCACAGGTTAGCAGAATCAATGAGCTTCTTGTTCAATAAAAGACCCTTTCTCAAATACCAAGGTGGGGAGAAATTAGATACCTGATGTCAGCCTCTGGACTTCACGTGCATGTGCACACATGTGTCATCACATGTCCATGAGGCAACTAAACAAATGTGTGCATACAAGGTACACAGACCACTCTGAAAAAAAGGTGCGATTTAATCTAAGCTGATAACAAGGTTGGTAATCACAGGGAGTTCAAAGTGCCTCCCTCTTTCTAACAGAGTTAAATGGTGCTCTAGCACATTGCCTTTCTGTATTTCTTTTCTATTGCTGTGATGAAATACAGTTCTATAGGGGAAGTCCATAATGGCAAGGAAGGCGCGGAAGCTGGCCGATGAAGCAGGAAACTACCTGATCACATTTCATTTGCACCCAGGAAGCAAAAGTGAGCACAAACTGCAAGTGGGTAGTGCTGAAACTCTCAAGGACGGCTCCTCCAAGGCCGTCCTAACCAAAGAGTGCCATCAACTGGATCAACTAGGAAGCAAGTGTGCAAGCCTCTGGAGCACACTTCTCTTCAAATCCTCTATCATCTAAACCATCCATCTTTCCTTCCTTCCTTCCTTCCTCAATGGCATCTTACTATGTTGTCTAGGCTATCTTGGAACTGAGTAGGAACTTCAGGTTACACATGAACTCATGATCCTCTTGCCTCCATCTCCTGACTGTTGGGACTAGAGTCACAAACCACCAAGTCCAGCTAGCAGGCAGATCTTAATGATGTTGTATACCCAGCAAGAAGGGTGTGAACTCCATTTGGAGTTTTCCAAGGAGACATGGGAGGTATTTAATAAGCAGGTGGAAGTCATAGTCATAGCTAAGATTGGACAATTGACCCAGTAAAGGAATGTCATAGATGCAGATGCCAAAGACCTGAAGAGGAGATTATGAACTTGATACAGAAAACAGGGAAGATTTTTAAGAAAACAGGAAAGAAAAGATAGAGCAAATGCTGACTGAAAGAGAGATGAGAACAATGCCATATCTACCTTCAAATCCTGGGGCACAAGGCTACTCATGGGAAGCAGGAAGCAGAGAGAGGTGTTGCTTGGCTAGGGCCTTTTTCTGGGTAAATCCTCATCCTGGGACTGTGGCTGGAACTTCTTTGGAGTTTCATGTGTGTAACATTGCTTCTTTTCTCTGGCCTGCCCTGCAGGTCTCCCAGTGAATACATTGCTGCAATCCTGGAGCTCAGCTCCCTCATCATGAAACGGTACCTCAGGCTCTTTCTGCATGTGGACTTCCTGTACTACCTCACTGCTGATGGGCGGCGCTTCTGCAAGGCCTGTGACCTGGTGCACAGCTTCACAGATGATGTCATCAGGGAGAGACGCTGCACTCTTGCTAGCCAGGGTGTTGAATTCCTCAAGGCCAAGGCTAGGTCTAAGTCTTTGGACTTCATTGATGTGCTCTTGCTGGCCAAGGTGGGTTTTTGTGGAATCTGAACTGAGAACTGAATCAAGAACCTCGACATTGAATGTTAGATAGAAATTAGACTTGATCAAGTGGGTATTTGGGAAGCAATAGATGGTATTTATAATAACTAAAGACAGCCTACAAGATGTGACTCTGTTGGACACTGTGTAAGCAGCAAACGACAGCAGGAAATTAAGGAGGAACCCGCAGGGACAGGTCATGGAGAGGCTAGGGAAGGCGTGTGTGCAGTGCATATCAGAGCCTGTGTCAGGTCAGGCTCAGGAGCCCCCAGTGGCACGAATTGAGGGTCTCATGTCTCCAGGATGAACACGGGAAGGAGCTGTCAGACGAGGATATCCGAGCAGAGGCTGACACCTTCATGTTTAGAGGTGAGGGTCCCCGTGCAGCCACAGAGAGGATCTGAGTTGATTAATCCGTATCAGGAGGAAACACCAGATCCTCCATTCCACCAATCCTCTCCTTTCCTTGGGGAAGATGCCCAAGTACTGTTCACTCCGGGGTGCTGAAACAGCCCAGCACCCAGAACTTCCTGTCTGCCCTTTAGGCCATGACACCACATCCAGTGCGCTCTCCTGGATCCTGTACAACCTGGCGAGGCACCCGGAATACCAGGAGCGCTGCCGGCAGGAGGTGCAGGAGCTCCTGATGGACCGCGAGCCTGAGGAGATTGAATGGTGAGTGCAAGATATAGCTGTGAGCCAGCATGGCAGTTGCTGTTTTTGATCTGTGAAATTACATTTCATTCATTCATTCATTCATTCATTCATTCATTCATTCATTCATTCATTCATTTATTCATGCATTCGTGTGTGAGTGTCTGTGCTGAGAGTGAGCATGTACTAAGTTCACTTGTGGAGGTCAGAGGAACTTTCAGGTATTGGTTCTCTCCTATCACGTACACTCTAAGGATTGAACTCAGGTTGCTCAGGGTCAGCAGCAAGAGCCTTTCTCTAAAATTACCTTTGTTATAGGACTAAATGATCACAGGGAAGCAGTAAGAACTTCAACAAGTGGCAGTAAGGCTGGCCAGGACTGTTTGTGTGTGTGTGTGTACACGCATGGTGCATGTGTGGAGCATAGAAGACAACTCTTGGTGGTTGGTTCTCTCCATCACCTTGTGTGGGCTGGTACTGAACTCAGGTTCTGAACTCAGGTCATCAAGAGTGGGTGCCAGCCCTCTAATGACAAGCCATCTAGCAGGCCAGGGCTTTTGCTTTTGCTTTTGCACCTGGATAATCGTGTGGTGGGCTCCTTAGGGACGACCTGGCTCGGCTGCCCTTCCTGACCATGTGCATCAAGGAGAGTCTGCGGCTGCACCCACCAATCATCGCCATCTCTCGACTCTGCACCCAGGACGTTGTGCTCCCTGACGGCCGGGTCATCCCCAAAGGTGTGGACTGTATGGGGAGGCCCTGCTCGTGCTGGTTCCCAGGGCCAACGCTGACTTCCCTTCTTGTCCAAAAGGGAACGACTGTCTCATCAGCATCTTCGGGGTTCATCACAACCCTTCAGTCTGGCCAGACCCTGAGGTGCGACCACGCCCGCCCCCAATTCTGGGACCCTTACCTGGAAAACCAGAGCTGTCACTCTTCTGTCTCCATATCCATCTGTTCTTGGACTGGCTGACCCTTCAGCCTAGTCTTGGTTGATCTGCAGGTCTATGACCCCTTCCGCTTTGACCCAGAAAACCCACAGAAGAGGTCACCTCTTGTTTTATTCCCTTTTCCGCCGGGCCCAGGTAAGGCGAGAGGGGTGAGAGCTGGAGTGAAAGCGGGGGGGGGGGCGACAGCGGCGACAGGAGAGGTTGGGGTGCTTAGGTTCCTTCCCGCCCTCTGCTCACGGCTACGCGAAAGGTCTAGCAGGCCGGGGTTGGAAGGTGAAAGGCGGGGCCCTGTGCTCAGAGCCCAGTCAGGGTCTGTCTCGGGCGCTGAGTCTGCGAGAGCTTCAGGATTGCGGACACTCACACTTGGTATCTCCCGGAGCATCAGCGCCCCTCCTGCCTCTCGGGCTGGCCAGAACAGCATGGACCTGTTCAAGCTTAAACCTTGGGGGCTAGTTTGGTCCCTGTGCAGTAAAAAGTCCCCACCCCGTCCTCCCGCAGGAACTGCATAGGACAGACTTTCGCCATGAGCGAGATGATGGTGGCGCTGGCGCTGACGCTGCTGCGCTTCCGCGTCCTGCGGGACGACAAGGAGCCGGGCAGGAGCTGGTCCTTCGCGCAGAGGGCGGGCTGTGGCTGCGGGTGGAACCGCTGAGCGCCTGCGCAGTGAGTGACAGGGCCTAGGATTGTCCCACCCACTCTGCGGATCCTAGAATAAGCGGTGCCAGAAGGCGGCACTGCGGGACCACAGAAACCCTCTGGTAGCCTGGCTTGACAAGAGGCGAGGCTGGGGTCTGCGACCAAGAGCCAGCCTGTTTCCTGGGTGATCCGCGGGGCCTGAGTTTGAGAATTGCACTCAAACTCAAGCGTGGACTTAATTTTTTTGGCGACAGGGAGGCACCACAGATTTTTGAACAGGAGAGATACAAGGATTACCGGCAAACACTACAGTTTTCTTCTATTTTTGAGACAGGGTTTCACAGTGTAGCTTTTAGAGGATAGACCAGGCTGGCCTTTAACTTGCAGCAGACCTCTTGAAGAAACTAAGGATGACAGGGCTGGCTCCATTTTGTTTCTCAGACTCTATCTTAAGTTGACTGACCTTGGAGTGACTTGACCCCCACCTTTGGGTTGTGAGAAGGGCCACATAGCCCTCCACCCTGCGGGTTGTCATGGATACCACAGAATGCGTTAATGGTGGGTCCTCCGCGTCAGGTGTCATAAATGCCACAGAAGTGTTAGTGGGTCCTCCACTCCACCCAGCTGACTGTCATACAGGTATCTTAGATATCTGTCGGTTTGGCCACGTGGCTTGGAACAATTCGCCTAAAGGACATTTCGATCGCTGAAACCCCCACCCAAAACTTTCCCTTCCCTGTAACTGCAAGGTTTGGAATTCCCTGCTCGCTGCTCTTCCTTTTAAAAACCCTGCCTCCCTGAGACCCGGGGCCCCACTTTCTAACCTGCTGCATCAGGGGAGATTGGCAGCCCGAGCTTAAGCTTGAATAAAGATCCTCGTGTGATTTACAACGGACTCGACTCCTAGTGGTCTTTTGGGGTCTCTCGAATTGGGCACAACAGCTTCTCAGGAGAAAAGTCTGGGAGCCGTTGACAATGATGTTAAGTGACACTGAAGGCTTGTGTTGTCCAAGGCCACTCAAACAGCTTACACTTAAAACAGCGTCACCCTTGCAGGCTCCCTGGGTGGTAGTGTTCTCTCAGGCTCCCACCTGTTTCTCCTGGGGCTGGAGAGGTGGCTCAGTTGAGGAGACAGGAGGATCCCAGGGCCCCACTGGCCAGTCAGTCTAGTTGAATCAGAAAGCTCCAGGTTCAGTGAGAGATTCTGTCTCAGGAAATAAGTGGACAGTGATGCTTTACATGACATAAATCTCTGGCCTCATAGGCATGTCTTTGTGTTTTGAGTACGCACACACACACACACACACACACACACACACACGCACGGCACTCACGCACGCTTACCTTTTATATCTCTTCTAGGATTTTGATTTCTCCCTCCTCTATCAGGAAGTCATTAAAACAGTTTCATGAGTTGGAGACTAGCCTGGGCTACATATAGAAAATTTGAGGCCAGCATTGTGAGACCTTATCTCAAAGCTTAAAAACCCACAAAAGCAGGATTTTACATATCTTTGGCTTGAGAAATAACTTAAAGCATTTTAAAAAATCTCTAGTGTTCTGTTCTAATTTATAAAGTGTTTTTGGGTTTTTGTAACACTGTGGTTGAAGCCCAGGCCTTGCACATATTAGGCAAATCTTCCACCACTGAGCTACACACCCTTTTGATTCTGCTATTTTTTTCAGTGGTGGTGGTATGTTAGTAGGCCAGAGGGTAGTTCAGGTTTGATGTTTAGGAATGCTGTCTACCTCCTTTGAGACAAGATATCTCATTGGCCTGGAGCTCCCAAGTTGGGCCAGTCTGGCTAGCCAGTGACCTCTGGGAGTCTTCTTGCCCTTGCCTTTGCAGTGACGAGATTATACGTGTAAAGCACTTTGCACCCAATTTTCCGAGGGTGTAAAGACAAACACATTATTCATTGAGCTGCCTCCCTAGCCCCTTAAGTGAGATTTTAAACGGGCACGGTCCACTTCCACTGGTGACTTCACTGTGGAATGTTAAAGGTGAGATTACCCTTCATTTTATAGTTTCTAGACAGTCACCAACACCCGAGGGGAGGGCTGGCCATGGTGGTGCACACCTGTAATCCCAGGTGTGGGAGGCAGAGCACAAATCTTTTTGAGTTCCAGGCCAGCCACAGCTATGTAGAGAAACCTTGTCTCAACCCTCTCCACCCCCAAAAAGAATATAAGCTGAGCATTACTCATATAAGAATATGAGCATTACTCATCACCCATCGCTCTTTGGACTTTGGGGAAAAACAGAGGTGTCAGGTACCCTTTGGGTTTGACTCCCTTGTGATTGTTGTAAGTGTAACCTTTGTCTGCAAAGGAGAACACATAGTAGGTATTTTGGTAGACAATGAGGTGAACTATTTCAGGGACTGGCAATTGTGTGATTTTAGGTCACCATACTCTACTGATTTCTTTAATTTTACAGTATGTCTTGAAAGGAATCCTGCAATTGTATTTTCATTTTTGAATAATTTTTTTTATCTCCCATGCCCTTTTTGTTTTCATGTAAATTTCACAGCCGATGTATCTATTCATACACAGTCCTGCTGTGACTTTGGTTTTCGTTAAACGTATCAGTTTGAGCAGAAGCATCATCTTACCATTAAGCCATCCTACCCATGACCATTGTATGCCTTTGCACTTGGTTGTCCTGGATTTCTTTCATCAGTGTCTTGAAGTTTTCATCACAGATATACCACACCTATTTTGTTAAACTTTGACATAAGTACACTTTCATAATTTATTATTCAATAATGATTCTTGAAAAAATTCTTTACTATTTATTGTTATACATAGGAGTTGAAATATTTTTCTTTTTTAAAAAAAGATTTATTTATTTATTTAATATATATGGTTATTTTGTCTGCAAATATATCTGCATACCAAAAAAGGAAATTGGATCCCATACAGTTAAAGACAGTCGTGAGCCACCATGGGGGTATGTAATTGAAGCCTGGACCTCTGGAAGAGCAGCCAGTGCTCTTAACTACTAAGTCATCTCTTTAGCTCCCAGGTTTTTTTTTTTTTTCTTACTTAAAGTGGAATATAAATATTTTAGACTTGCATGCTCTAGTTTTTCATTTCAGGCTGTACTTCTGCCCTTCTCTCACTCCAACGTCGTTTCAATTTAAAACCATTCTTAGTCCGTAAACAGCATAGAAGGAAGCTTTATGCGTGGGAGGCCACAGTTTGCTGAGCACTGGGTATAGAAATAGGATCAATTTTTTTTTTGTTGTTGTTGTTCATTTGCTTTATTTTGCCACACATGCCCACACTTACTTTCATGTATTTCTAACAGATTATACAGGCAGTTAGCTGAAGTAAAACAGCAAAGAGAAGAAAAAGCAAAGCAAGAGGTCGGTGACCAAAGTACAGCAAGGGCAAAAGAATTTCATAAGGTGAGTAGGAGCCAATGTTTCGCTAACAAAGGCACAAACTAAAACAAAACCTGAATTTAATCTTCATTCCTTCTGCAGGAAACACTACAGAAACTTCGAGCCAAATACACATGCTGACTTCTCACAAACTGTGTAAAGGGTTTTCTTTTAGTTTATTTAATGTACATAAAGCTAGATATATTTATATGTAAAACCAATAAATTTTTGTTTGTAGATGATTCTTCTGCTGTCCATCCAGGTCATTATGTTCTAGATTTCTGAATACAGCCCTCAAAGATGGTCCATATATACCTATCCAAAGATGGTCCAGTGTGCCCTTTATTCTTTTATCCTTGGCTTAACTTCAAAGTTCTCAACCGGCAGATTTCTGATGATGTCTTCAATTTAGAAACCTAAAAGACATTTTAACGTAGGCTTCACTAGTTGACACCCTAGGAAGAAAAGGAGTGGTTTGTTCAGCAGGTAACACTTGCCACCAAGCTTTAAAGCCAGTTATTCACCAGAAACCATAGAGACCCAACTCACATACTGCTTTTACAGCCACAAATAATATATATAATAATAAACTGTATCATTAGAAATACCAGGTTTAACATGCACAAAGCCAAGAAACCAACGATGCCAGATAGTGAGTTTCTATCGCACTGTCTTTTGAACACCCAGAAGGAAAGAACTCCTGAGTGCAGATACCGTGCAGTGCAATAGAAATAGGATCAATTTTTGTGTGTTGTCTAGGTATCATTGCCATCAGAGTACAACTAATGACATGTCCATAATTACAGAACTCCTTTCCCTTGGCCTTTACTTCTTTGTTAAATAATGTATTCATTCTTATTTTACGGGCATTAGTGTTTTGCCTGCATGTATGTCTGTGTGAGGGTGCTGGATCATGTGGAACTGAAATTGTAGAGAGTTGTGTGCTGGGAATTGAACCCAGGTCCTCTGGAAGAGCAGCCAGTCCTCTTAATCACTGAGCCAGTTCTCTAGCCCTGGTCTTTCTTTGTTTTTCTTTTTGTTTTTAACTTTTTATTGATTCCCTGTGAATTGCATGTCATGTACCTTAGTCCCGATCATTTTTCTGTCCCCTCATAGCCATCCTTCACACTGGCAACCTCTCAAAATAAAACACACACAAACAAACAACACCAAAAGTAAGAAGACCTCAGTGTGGAAGCTGTAGTGTGTCCCGGTGTGTCCCACAGTGTATCTTCCTGTGCACACATCTTCACTTGCAGTTGTTCACGGCAACGAGCTGTCGGTCGGGCCTGAGCTCTCTGGCTTCTGTGACACCGTCAGTATTGCATCTTCACTGGGGCTCCTCTGGGTCATCCCATCGTTGCCCTGTGTCATGGAGATCCTGCAGCTCCGGATCAGCAAGACTGGCCCTTTAACGTGTCCCAGCTGTTCACGGATAATGGAGATTCTGGGGTGGGTCTCAGAGGTCTGTGTCTGGGCTGGGTGGCAGCTGAGCTGGTGGCGGCGTGCCAGGTTTCCCTTATTTGCACCACCAGGGCGGGCTCTGCAGCACTCCTTCAAGCTAAGCCACCCAGTGCCACCATCCGCAGGAGGCAGGGCCAACTCCCCCCCACCCCTACCCCGCTCAGGTCTTCAGAGTCTGCTCATCAGCACCCACACCTCTAGAGCCAGTTCCACTGTGCTGCTCAGTCAAGGCGCAGGGGCCACTCTCTGAAAGGCTGCTGTGAGGCTGCAGCCTCGGCCAGATCTCCTGTTCTCACACGCTTGGTGCTGGCTCACCATGTCTTGACATCACGTCCAGCTCTACTGTGCTGCCCAGATGAGGCACAGGGCCTGCTGTCCCGCCCTCCTGAATGCTGCAGCTGTTGAGGTTTGGTTCTCCTCCTGCCTGGGGGCTGTCTCCCAGCAGCCTACAAAGTCAGGAGGAGGCGAGAATGGCTGGGCATCCTACGGGGCATCATATAGGTTCAGGGAGGGGAGAGCTAGCAGGGAGCTGTGTCAGAGACACTCTCCAGATGAAGCCAGGTAGAGAGCAGGAGACCCTGCTGGGGAGAGGGAGTCCTGTCCCTAACGCCCCCAGCTCGGAATGGCTTTCTGGACTAGGCTAACTACAGCCTCACCCGTCAGGGCGCCCCCAACAGCCGAGGAGCAGCCTGGCTTGCTTTCTAACCCTATCTGGGGTGTTCAGTCTCTTACTTCCTGCCCTGAATAACATTTAAAATTCTGCCTGAGATCATGACAGTTGAATGAATGGAGAGTGGAGAGTGTGGCTCCTTGAGGCTCTGCTGCCTGTTTAGCTGTGAAAGTTCAGCCAAGTCTTTCTGTCCTTGACTGCTGGGGGGGTGTGTTGGTCTCTTGAGCAGGGAGGAGGCTCTTTCACAAGCGGTTCTAGTATCCTGGGGGGTCTGGTGTTCTTTAGTTCAATGTATGTATACCTGAGAGACTGACTGGGTGTGTGTTCGACTGTGTAAGTGTCTATGTAAGTATATACATTTGTGCAAA